GGCTGGCATGTGGTGCTGGGGGATTGAACCGCGGTCCCTGTGTTTTGTTTAGCTTAGCTTGTTCTAAGTAGATGGCTCTTAGACCACTGAGCCATCTCACCAGCCCCTATACTTAATTTTTGATGGAAAAATACATTTAATTTCTTTTGAGCACACAGCAGGAATAGAAATGCTTATTGATAAAGACATGTGTTTAGCTTTAAAAGATACTGCCAAATGGTTTTGTAACATGCTTGTGCCAAATGACATTTCCACTCGTGATTGACTCCACATTCTGGTTAGCATGTGATACTGTCAGTGTTCCTATTTTGGCATTTTTGATTGGGATACTGTTTAACTCATTATAATGACTAATGACATGGAGCACCTCTCATGCTTAGGTGCCATTTGGGTTTTTTCCTTTTGAAATGCCTGTTCCAGTCTCTTCCTCATTTATGTGTGTGTGTTTAATGTCTTTTATCACTGATTTATAAGATTCTTGTACTTCAATATTTTTCTTTCAGCAAATCAAAGAATGAATATGCAAAAGAAATCAAGGTCATAGAACAAAATTTAAAAATTTAATTGATACATTTAGGACCCTATATAACCAACAAGAGTAAGGCACACATTTATTGTGCTTATGCTACTCTAGGCCATAAAAATCAACAAGTTCCAAAGAACATATCCAGTGAACACAATGGATTAAACTAAAAATCAATAACAAGCCAGGTGTGGTGGCACACACCTGTAATGCCAGCACTTTGAGAGGCTGTGGCATAAGGACTGCCAAATTTGAGCCTCCATCTCACTCCAAGCAACAAAATGACTTAGCAAGACCCTATTTCAAAATAAAAACTATAAATGGGCTGAAGACACAGCTCAATGTAAAGATCCTGGGTTCTACCCCCAGTATGAAAAACTAATCAATAACCCAAGCTGAACTTAACCAATAAAATTCAAATAATTTATGGGGGAGATCACAATGAAAACAGAAAATATTTTAATTGGAATAAAATATACTATATGTAAACATGGGGGATTATAAACTGCATTGATATTGGTAAATTGTAACAGGAAGAAACTGATAGATACATAATAAAGTACAGAAAAAATGTTAATGGTACAAAGTAGCATAAATAAATGAATGTTCTCCGTAAAATCCTCTCAACTTTGTTGTATGATTAAAAGCTTTTTTAGCAAAAAGCTGATGACCAGCAAAATAAACACAAAGCAGAAAGAAAATAAAATGAAGTTGATTGATATGAGAAAGAAAACAAAGCACAATAGAAAAAAAATCAAAAAAGTGAGAGATCTTTGAAAAGGCCAATTAAATTGATAAATTTCTATTAAGATGAGTCAAGACTATGGGGTGGATATAGATGATTAGTAGAGTGCTTGCCTGGCATGTTTAAGGTCTTGGGTTCAATTCCAAGGACTGTTTTTAAAAAAAGATAAATCAAGAATAAAAGCCAGAGACACAGACACATACAGTCCTTCTCTTGCCATATGATGCTATGTGCCACCCTGAGAATTTGCCAGCATGAGAAACATCACCAGTATTATGCCCAAGGTCTCTCCTAGTGGTACTCAACCTTGACTACATATTAAGAACCAATGGACTAGATAGCTTCGTGGAAACCAAGTCCAACAACTTGAATGAGTATTCAGAATGGAGAACCCTCTGAAAACCATCAAAATTGACTATAGCCCTGTCATCAACTTCATATAGATCTTTGTTCTTGAAGTAAAGAAACCAGCTAAGTCTACTGAACTTCTGACCTAGGAAACTATAAACATGCCAAGTGTGGTGAGGCACATCTGTAATCTCAGCACTAAAGAGGTTGAGATGGGACTGCTAAAAGTTCAAGGCCAGCTAAACTGAATAATGAGAAACCTGTCTCAAAAAAAGAACTATGTTCTGGAAAACACAAGATTGTGAGTTCAATTCCCAGTACAAAACAAGACAGAAAAGAACTATGAAATAATAAACTTACATTGTTTATAACCAAAAATAAGAATAAAAGAAAAAAATGCTAATAACGAGTATCAAATGAAAAAGAATCCCTATAAATCCAGTAGCCATAAAAAACAAGTATGGTAGCATAAACTTTTGCCAACAAATTTAGATGTTGATAAAACCCATGACAATTTTTCATTCCACATGGGAACAGAAAATCTGAATAATTGTAATCTACTGAAGCAACTGAATATATAACATGTATAATTTAAAGCTATTATTATTGATCAATCCTTGATCAATCTTCACATTAAATGCTTTGCTACTGAGCTCCAACTCATTTATTCAACAAATATTTATTAAGTGACCACTGTATGCTACAGGAAGTACTGGAGTGATAGTCCATGTCTCTAATCCCAGTATTCTGAGAATTTGGCACAGGAGCAAAATTTTGGTAATTTTGCAAGTCTAAAAATAAAGGGCTGGGGAGATAGCTCGGTGGTCTAAGTGCCTGCCTGGCAAGCGCAAGGGCACAAGTTCAATTCCTGGTATCACATGCCGAGCCAGGTGCCTAAAGCCCAGGCATGCCATGCCTGCCCCAAAATGGGAGTGGTGGTGCACCCCTGTAATCGTTGCACTCAGGAGGCTGAGACAGGAAGATAACTAGGAGTCTAAACTACAGGAGACCCTGTATCAACAACAAAATAATAATAATTAATAATCAAAAATAAAAATAAGCCCTTCTCCCCGGCGGTTAGTGCTGAGAGTGCGGAGTGTGTGCTCCGGGCTCGGAACACACATTTATTATTAAAAAATCCAAAAAAAATCTAAAAAAAATCTTTTAAAAAACCCCCAAAAAATTACAAAAAATCCGCGTCTCCCCCGCCGGAGACTTTTTTTTTTTCTTCCTCTTTTATAAAATAAAAGCTCCGCGGCCCCACAGCAGCTCCAAGAAGGAACCCAGAGACCGAGGCCTTCCCGCCGATCAGACCGACATCGTCAGCCACTCCCCCGCTCCCGGCAGCCGCCCGCAGCAGCAGATCGACCCCGTTCTGCAGCCGTGGAGTAGTTTTTGGTTCCGGTTGATTTTTGTCCCTCTGCGCTTGCCCCCGCTCCCCTCCCCCTGGCTCCGGCTCCATCCCGGGCTCCGGATCCTGCACCTGCTCTGCTGCTCTTGGAAAGGTCGTGGCCTGTGGCCCTGCGGGCAGTCGTGCCGAGATGAACCCCAGCGCCCCCAGCTACCCCAGGGCCTCGCTCTACGTGGGCGATCTCCACCCCGACGTGACCGAGGCGATGCTCTACGAGAAGTTCAGCCCGGCCGGGCCCATCCTCTCCATCCGGGTCTGCAGGGACATGATCACCCGCCGCTCCTTGGGCTATGAGTACGTGAACTTCCAGCAGCCGGCAGACGCGGAGCGTGCTTTGGACACCATGAACTTTGATGTTATAAAAGGCAAGCCATGTGGTCTCAGTGTGATCCATTACTTCGCAGAAGTGGAGTAGGCAACATATTCATTAAAAATCTGGACAAATCCATTGATAATAAAGCACTGTATGATACATTTTCTGCTTTTGGCAACATGCTTTCATGTAAGGTGGTTTGTGATGAAAATGGTTCCAAGGGCTATGGATTTGTACATTTTGAGACCCAGGAAGCCCCTGAAAGAGCTATTGAAAAAATGAATGGGATGCTTCTAAATGATCGCAAAATATTTGTTGGACGATTTAAGTCTCGTAAAGAACGAGAAGCAGAACTTGGAGCTAGGGCAAAAGAATTCACCAATGTTTACATCAAGAATTTTGGAGAAGACATGGATGATGAGCGCCTTAAGGATCTCTTTGGCAAGTTTGGACCTGCCTTAAGTGTGAAAGTTATGACTGATGAAAGTGGAAAATCCAAAGGATTTGGATTTGTGAGCTTTGAAAGGCATGAAGATGCACAGAAAGCTGTGGATGAGATGAATGGAAAGGAGCTCAATGGAAAACAAATTTGTGTTGGTCGAGCTCAGAAAAAAGTGGACCGTCAGACGGAACTTAAGCGCAAATTTGAACAGATGAAGCAAGACAGGATCACCAGATACCAGGGTGTTAACCTTTATGTGAAAAATCTTGATGATGGTATTGATGATGAACGTCTCCGGAAAGAGTTTTCTCCATTTGGTACAATCACTAGTGCAAAGGTTATGATGGAGGGTGGTCGAAGCAAAGGATTTGGTTTTGTATGTTTCTCCTCCCCAGAAGAAGCCACTAAAGCAGTTACAGAAATGAATGGTAGAATTGTGGCCACCAAGCCACTATATGTAGCTTTAGCTCAGCGCAAAGAAGAGCGCCAGGCTCACCTCCCTAACCAGTACATGCAGAGGATGGCAAGCATCTGAGCCGTGCCCAACCCTGTAATCAACCCCTACCAGCCAGCACCTCCGTCGGGTTACTTCATGGCAGCTATCCCCCAGACTCAGAACCGTGCTGCATACTACCCTCCTAGCCAAATTGCTCAACTAAGACCAAGTCCTCGCTGGACTGCTCAGGGTGCCAGACCTCATCCATTCCAGAACATGCCCGGTGCTATCCACCCAGCCTCGCCTCAACCGCCATTTAGCACTATGAGACCAGCTTCCTCACAGGTTCCGCGAGTCATGT